GGCTGGAGCAGCTACCAAGAGGATTCATTTTGAATCAGACTGAACAGATGGTAATAGTAAAAGCCCAAATTGATATGCTACGGGAGTGACTTTTTTTCCTAAGTAAATAAGAAAAGGGTCTGGTTGAGAAAATAAATGATGATGATGATAATGATGATGGCATTTATATAGCACTCTAAAGTTTGCAAAGAACTTTACAAATATCATCTCATTTTGTTTTCACAAACCTAGGAGGTAATTGTTATTATCATACCTGTTTATAGATAAGGAAATTGAGGCCCAGAGAGACTAGATGACTTGCCCAAGGTCATACAGCTAGCAAATGTCAAGTGTCTGAACCCGAATTTGAACTCAGGTCCTCCTGACTCCAGGGTCGGTACGCTATCCACTACACCATCTAACTGCCCATGTCCATTCTTTAAGGAGGTGAGGTTTCATCCACATGTCAAAAGATTAGCTCCAATGGTATTGGTTACGGGTCCATTATAACTTAGGTCTATGTAAAAATCATCTTCCTGCAAGTAATCACTGTGTAGTTCTGAAGATTAAAAAAATCAATGTAGCTACAGCACTGTATAAATGTTATTTTTCATAATATCCCAGCTCTAACAGCTTTGTAATCAAAATCAAGTCATTTTATTTCTCCAAGAAGTTTCCTTATCTATAAAATGAGGATCAATCCACCAACAAGTATTTATTAAGTGCATATTTTGAAGAAGGCACTATGCTAAGTGTTAGGGATATAGACACAAAAATGTAAGTCCTTGCCCTGAAGGAGCTTACATTCTAATGGATATATACATACATATATTACATATACACATATAAATATGCACAAAATAAATACAGGATAATTTGAGGGTGGAGTTGAGGCACTAGCAGCTGGGGGGTGGGGAAGGCCTCCTACATGTAGGAGTGGCATTTGCAGTAAACTTGGAATGAAACTAGAGATTTTAAGAAGCAGAGATCAGGATGGAGTACATTTCTGGCATGAGGGAACAGCCCGTGGAAAGGCATGGAGATGATTGGGAGATGGAATGTTTGCTATATAGGATGGAGAGGTGGAATGTTTGCTGTATAGGATGGGGAGGTGGAATGTTTTGATGTATGGGATAGTAAGATACTACTTTCTTGAGAGGGCTGTTGTGTGGAAAGTGATTTATAAACTTTGATGCATCAAATAAATGTGATCACTTATCGTTAATCATCTAAATGTTTGTAAATTGAATTGAACTCAACAGATGTTTCAATTCAACATTTATTAAATGCCTGTTATGAACAAGACACCATGCTATGGGATCCAAAGACATAGTCCTGTGGGGACTGTCATGGCAGCCTTCCTGGCTCAAGTCCCGCTCTACTCTCATCCATTCTCCACTCTGCTGTCAAATGGATCTTCGTAATATGCAGGTCTGGCCATATCATGCTTGTAGGATCTAATATAAAACCCTCTGTTTGGCTTTTGATGCTTTTTGTAACCTGGCCCCTTCCTGCCTTTCCAGTCTTCTTACTCCTTCCACCCTTCCACGTACTCTGATCTAGCATCATGGCCTTGCACGTGACACTCATCCCCTGAGACTCCAGAGTTTTTTCACTGGCTGTCCCCCATGCCTGGAACTCTCTTCCTCCTCATTTCCACCTCTTCTTGTTGTTTGACCTTCATTCTTGAAGAGGACTGTGACTTCAGGGAGGTGATGCCCTGGAGTGTAAGTGCATTGGATGTGGAAGAATCAATCTGGGAGGGGAAGACCCTCAGGGTTTCTGGCTAAAATAGAAACGATTGTTGTTTACTTTCACGCTGACCCAATGGGGCTTGGCCTTGGCCAATCATCAAGAGCCCAAAGTGATTCTGGTTTAAGCTTTGGTCCTTAAGAATAAAAGGTTTCAGTGATCAAAATCTACATTCCTTCGGGCAGAGCACTGGAAGGTAAGGGTTTGATACCCTGCATGTACAGAGGGAAGGGAAAGAAAGGAAGCAGTAGCAGCAACAGCAAAAGTAGTAGCAATAGTAGAAGTAGTAGCAGCAGCAGTAGTAGCAGCAAACAGCAGCAGAAGCAGCAGTAGTAGTAGTAGCAGCAGCAACAGCAGCAAAAGCAGTAGCAGTGGTAGCAGCAGCAACAGCAGAAGTGGTAGCAGCAGCAGCAGGAGTAGCAGCAACAGAGAGGGAAGGAAGAAAGAAAAAGAAAGAAGGAAGGAAAGGAAGAAAGAAGCTGTATTCCTCAACTGGTCAGTTCCAGTTGGGTCCCCAGAAGGGGGAGTAGAAATAACTCACAGAGGTTGTTATTTGTCCTTCATTCTTGGAGGAGGACCATGACATGGTGCCATGACTTGCAAGAGAATTGGATTTAAAGAGGGAGGGCTGCGCAAAGTCACCAGCTTCACTTTGTCCTCTAGTGGCCAGATATAGATCCTGACGTCGGGAGATGGCCCAGGATTCAGTGGGAGACCTTGAGAGGTACTGGGTTGGGGTGGGCGTGGCAAGATAGCAGTTTGTCTGGAAAAGATCTGGGTTTTTAGTGGATTGTAAGCTGTATACAAATCAATGGTGTGACATGGTGGCCAAAGATACAACTCCTTCAATTTTGGATGCCATTAAATTGAAGCTGTGGATTCAGGACTTGGAAAGTATACTGTCCCTATGTCCTGGTCAGACCACATCTCAGTCTGGTATTAAATTCTGGATGCCAAATTTTAGGATAGACATCGATAAACTGGAAGATGTCCAGAGCAGAGCAAAGGGGACGGTAATGCACCTTTCATTCCACGGAACGGTCCATTCAAGAAACTGAGGCTGTTTTGCCTGGGGAAGAGAGGACTCAGGGGCCAGTGCTGTCTTTAAAGTATTTGAAAGGTTGTCATGTATAGGGAAGACCAGACTTGTTCTGCTTAGTCATAGAAGGTGAGATTAAGAGCAGTGAATTAGAATTTTAAAGAGCCATGTTTGGAGAGCTGAAAGGACAAATCCTTAAATAATTAGAACTATACAGAAGGGGAATGGTCTGCTTAGATGACAGCTTATTGGGTGTACTGTGGAGAAGATTCTTGTGCCATTATACAGCTTAGAGGAAGTGGTCTCTGAGTTCCCTTTCAGCTATGAGATTCCGTAAATCCATGAATAGTATAAATGAGGCAAAAGCAAAGAAAAAACCTTGCAGGAGCTTCATATATGTTCAAAAAGTTGTAAGTATTTCAAAAGAAATTGAGGCAACATAACATTTATGCATTTATTCAGAACTTACCACGTACCAGGTGTTATTCTATTCTATACTGGTGCATACAGAGACAAAACCAAAATAATCCTTTGCCCCTAAGGAATTTACAGTTTATAGGATTCAACACATTTGATGCATTCCAAAAGTTGACTTTCTATGTCTCACAATGTATGTTTCATTGGTATATTCATTCACTTTGGTCCATCTCATGAAAGACTGTAGACATCTCTACTAGAGAGTGCAAAGCCATCCCTACTAGAGGCAAAGGATTCACAGTGCAGTCAATGTGTCATTAATGTCCCACTTATGAGCAAAGCACAACTCATGATTTATCATTGTGTGTGCAATACACAACTTGTATTTTTTAAATGTTTATGGTTCTGGTATTTGTGAACTGAATCCTGTGGATGTTCCCCAAATGTGTTTTCCCTGTAGGTTAATCCCATCTCTGTCCTTCATCCTTGGGCAGTGTGACCTAACAGAATTTCAATTAATTAAATTAAGACAATTTGTCAATTGTCTGTGATATGCAAAGTGAGAGGTTGGTTGTGGTGTAGTAGATAGAACCCTTGCCTTGGAGTCGGGATGAACTTGGGTCAGATCACAATTCTAGCTGGCTCTGTGACCTTGGACAAATTGCCTCTTAGTACCACAAACAGCCCCCTAATACTATAAATTGTGGAATGGTTGTTGATTTCTATCAGTAGAGGGAATTTTCTCACTGGGAAGTGTCCTTACACTGATGAAATCAGAGGCTTGCTGCTTAGAAGCTCTTGTCACACACTCCCAGGATCAGGACTAATCTTCTTGCACAGTGAGGCATATTTTTCAAAAATGTATTTATTTTAACATTCATTTTTAAATTTTGAGTTTTAAATTCTTTCCTTCCCTTCATCCCCTCCTATACCCATTGAGAAGGCAAGCAATATGATACTCATATATATGAAGTTGTGCAAAATATATTTCCATATTAGCCATGTTGCAAAAAAGTGAGGCATAATTTTGACAAGCCTATTTGGTTTTCTCACTGTAGGTCATAATTAATCGATCAATCAGTCAACCAATCAACAAACATACCAAGGGCCTACTTACCAGGAACTGTGCCAAGTGCTTGGGATACAAAGAAAAGCAAAAAAAAAAAATTCCTGTCTTCAATTCTTACATTCTAATGGAGCACATAACATACAAGTAAATAGCTAGGTCCAAGATACGTACAGAGTAAATGGAAAGTGACCTCAGAAAGTAAAGCTTTTGTAGCTGGGTGGACCATAAAAGACCTCCTTCAGAAGGTAGGTTTTGAATTGAGTCTTGAAGTAAGCAGGGATCCTAAGAGGAAGAGGTGAAGAGGAAAAGGGTTCCATCATAGGGGACTGCTATTGGTGGGTTGTCCACAGATGAGAAGGAATGAGTAGACCAAGAGAACTGGGCCATAGATTATGTGGAAGGGTGTAAAGTAGGAGAATACAAGAAAGGTAGCAAGGGGCCAGGTTGGGAAGAGTTTTAATATCAAACAAAGGACATGCTCCTGAAGGTAATAGGGAGCCACTAGAGTTTATTGCGTAGAGGATGACGTGGCTAGACCTTCCTACGCTGATCTTAAGACTAGAGAGAGTTTGAAGGTCATATGGTCTAACTCTCATTTTATAGATGAGGAACCTGAGACCCCACTATGGAAGTGACTTGTCCAAGGTCAGACAGTTATAAGTAGCCCAGATCCTCTGGTTCCAAGTTTAGCACTCTTTCCACTGTACCACGAGGTGTCCTAATTGTTTGCTTTTTGCCTTTCAGGTAGATTTTGTGGTGACAAAGTGCCAGAACCCCTCATCTCCACAGACAGTCGCCTTTGGGTTGAGTTCCGAAGCAGCAGCAACATCCTGGGCAAGGGTTTCTTTGCTGTTTATGAAGGTGTGTGGGAGAGTTGTGGGACTGCCTTTCTTTTGCCTGTCAACCAGTGACTCCACTCTTCAACTTTGTACCTTCCTCCGCCCTTCCAAGTGTATGTAGCTACAGTTGGGAGCCCTTGAGGGTGTGGAGGTGGGACTTAGGGATACCAGTGGTGGTGTTGTAAACATTGCCTCTGGAGGCCCCTTCTAAGGCCTCTCCTGTGTCCTGAAAGCAACATAGGCCAGTCATGTTCTCTACAAGACAAACCTTTCTTCCCCCATAAACCAACACTCAGCCACAATTCCAGTCATTTTAGAGAAAATCATTTAAACCCTACACACATAGTGACCTTGCCTCTGACTATGACTGCAGCTCAGGGACCTCACAGTATCACTGTGGTCTTTCAGCTTCCATTCAACAACTTCTAGTGAACTTCACTTATGTCATCTTCTGTGTTTCTTCTATCTTAAAATGTTTCTGGGTTTTTTTTTTTTTGGCAAGTATTAAGTTCATAATAAAAGCGACATTTAAATTGAAAAAAAAAATCTCTAGTGAGGATGAGCTCATAAGCTTAAAACTGCCCTAAGACTTTTGGGACATGGATACCAAATGGATACCATGGATACCATTTTACTTCTGGGTAAGCTTTAATTGTTAGGGATATATTTTCTTACAGCCTGAATTGTCTTCTCTTCAACCTCTACACATTTCTCCTAGATCTGCCCTCCTGGTGCCAAGCAGAAAAAGACTAATTTATCTTCCACATGACAGGCCTTCAAATACTTAGAGGCAGAACTTTTCATGCCCTCCTCCTACCCCCAAGGCTTCTTTTTTACAGACTTAATATCTTCAGTTCCTTCAACCTACTTTTATTGGTTCTCTCCCCATGTCTGTCTGTCTGTCTGTTTCTCTCTCTCTCTCTCTCTCTCTCTCTCCTCCCACCCCCATTTATTCTTTGGTTTCCTCACCTGTAAGATGAGGGGCAGGGGCAGCTAGGTGGCACCATATTGCAGAGCTCTGGAGTCAAGAAGACTATCTTCTTGAGTTCAAATCTGACCCCAGACACTCATTAGCTGGGTGACCCTCTCTATGCCTCAGTTTCCTCATCTGTAAGATGGGGATAATAATAGCACCTATCCCCCAGGATTGTTATGAGGATAAAATGAGATGATATTTGTAAAGTACTTTGCAAATATTAAAGGGCCGTGTAAATACAAGCTATCATTATCTAGTCGTATTTCCACATTTGGCAGATGAGACCAGAAAGGATGTGACCTGTCTGAAGTTATATTTGTGGAAAAGCAGGAACTAGAATTTATATTTTCCATCTCTAAAATTCTGTGATTCTTGAAAATCTCTGGTTTTAGTTATTCTTTAAAAGGATCAATTATTGTTGATGAAATCATACCCCGGGTGGTCATTTTCCTTGATAGTAAAGAATTCACACCTACAATCATGAATCTATGATATGTTTGCAAGATGCTCCACCTAGTGGTGACAGCTGGCTACTGTGCTGTATTGTCAGAGCCAGTCACAGGTGTGTTAAATACCTATTTATGGGTAATAGTGTGCTGAGCATTGCCCAAAGCCCCTGTACTCTCACAGCTCCTCTTGGAAGGGAATGTTCCTCATCTATTGCTGTCTTTGTTTCTAAAGCTATATGTGGGGGAGAAATTCACAAAGATGCTGGCCAAATCCAGTCTCCCAATTATCCAGATGACTACAGGCCTTCTAAGGAATGTGTTTGGAAGATCACTGTTTCTGAGGGGTTTCATGTGGGACTGACTTTCCAGGCATTTGAGGTAAGTCATTCTGGAAGCTTTCTGACAAAAAAAAAAGTGACACACATTTCATTAGAATATTCATTAAGAATTTAGTATATGCAGAAGATATAAATCTAGATTAGATGTGATATGTGTGTATGTATATATAGTGATATATCTATGCATATATACATACATACATACATATGTATGCTTCATATTATAATTGTCAGAAATCTCTTGTTTTTGAATGTTATTGGAGGGTTAGAATAGATATGACTGGTATAAGAGACTCTTGAGCTGATGAAAGTTGGGGCATCTTTCTTTCCCTGTTTATCACTTTGTTCATTCTAATGTCTCATGGTTGGGAAAATCATAGCTTCTGGATATGGCAGAAAGTGGATCTAGGATTTCATAATTCTTCTTTGATTTAATCAAGAGCAGAGAAAGTTGTGTCCCCCCCCCCCCAATTAAATCCTAATTCTTAAGAAGAGCCGTAAGTAGCAGTTGTTGTGTCTGCCTGGGGTAGAGGACACTTAAGTCAGTTTTTCAGACTGGCATACCAGACCCTGAATGACCACTGCTGGAATGATACTTGAGATGGGAAGAGGGCATGAAAGCCCTGGCCAGGAAATAACCTCCCCTGGAGTATAGCTTTCAGCATGCCGCTAGTGATTTCAGTATACTAGATGCAACTCTGATCTCCATACCCTATCTACAGTTCTGTTCCCAGGCCAAGGAGATTAAGGTGCCAGTTATCACCTGCTACTCTCTCATGTCCCTTCTATCAGATTGAACGACATGACAGCTGCGCCTATGACTACTTGGAAATTCGGGACGGTGCCGCTGAAGAGAGTGCATTGATCGGTCACTTCTGTGGCTATGAGAAACCAGATGATATCAAATCCAGCTCCAACAAGATGTGGATGAAGTTTGTATCAGATGGCTCTATCAATAAAGCTGGGTTTGCTGCCAATTTTTTTAAGGGTATGAATTATTCCCTACCACTTTTAGTAATAACAGGATTTGTTGACCCGTTTCCTTAAGGAGCCCAAAGAACTTGATGAACTTCTACGCTGAAGGCAGCTAAATGTAGATGGTCCCTAAGGCATCTTCCAACTCTAATATTCTTTGATATTTAAGGGAAGGAGTGATGCCTACCAGGGCCCTTATTTTTACACTGAGCTTTCAAAAGAGATGCAAGCCCTGGAAGTTACTGGCAGATCAACAATTGGGACTTCGTCTTGACACTTAAGATGCGTTATTGTGCTCCATGGTTGGTTTTGCATCTCAACCTAAGACACTAAGTCTTTAGTGATCAAACTAGGCACCATGGAATGGAATTAGGGCTTGATAGATGCCATGTAGGCTCCTTTCCTAGACCATAACCAGTATTGAGACATGTATCTGTAGTATTAATCCTGAGATACCAATGCACCCTAAGGAGTGGGAGAATCATGGCAGTGGTAGATGTTCTTCCACTAAAATTTGGAGGATGGATCTGTGGGGAGATTAAGGTTCTGAGTCAGAGATGCTGTGGGTCACTGCAAAATTGTCTTAGGGAGCTGAGCCCAGTTTTTGCTCCTGTGGGGTTGTACCTCTGCAGGGACTGTTTGGGGAGGCTGTGAAAGCCTTGAAAATCTTATCAAAATGGCAGAAAATCCATAAGCCTAGAACTTGGGTCCAAATCTTGGTTCTACTAGGTGGCAACCTCTAGTACCTGTGTGACCTTGGATAAGTCACATAATCTCTTAGGGATTCTGTTTCTTCATCTGTAAAATGAGGGAGTTGGAATAGAGGTCCTCTGACATACTTTCCAGTTCTGCATTTATGACTCTAGTCCCAGGGCCCCAGGAAGGTAGAACAGCACACTGACAGGGAGAGAATGTGGCATGGGCTGGGGTTCTTAGTAGTTCCAAGGCTAGAATGGCCAAGGAGCTCTGCCTTTGGCCTTGGTCCATCTCCCTTAAGTATGTGATATATTCTAGCCAGCTGCAGGAATGCCTCCATACAGTGTGTGTGTGTATGTGTGTGTGTGTGTGTGTAGATATTATGTGCACTGCATACAAGTTGTTGTGAGAATCAAATGAGCTGATGTATGTGGGGGGCTTTGTAAGCCCCTCACTCCCTTTCCTTCAATCCCAGCCTGCCCACTTCTCAAGTCTAGGAAGGTCTCTGGTCCCCCTCTATTCCTAAGTTCCAATCCTTCCATTTCCTTCCAAGCCTAATTCAGTAACCATATCCTGTCTTGAGGCAGAGGTCTAGATGGATAGATAGATAGACAGGCAGATAAGTAGATAGATATGAAGATAGATTGAAAGAAAGATAGAAAGATGCATAGATAGTTAGATAGATGGAGAAAGAGACAGAAAGAGACAGAGACAGAGAGAGAGAATGAGAACATTTAGTACTTATTATGAGTAAGGAAAGCACTTGGTGAGGAACAGAGACCAGAGCCATCCAACTTAGATAGATAGATAGACAGGCAGATAAGTAGATAGATACAAAGATAGACTGAAAGAAAGATGCATAGATAGCTAGACAGATGGAGAGAGAGATAGACAGAAAGAGACAGAGAGAGAGAGAAAGAGAGAGAAAACGAGAATGTTTAGTACTTATTATGAGTAAGGAAAGCACTTGGTGAGGAACAGAGACCAGAGCCATCCAACTTTAAATAATTGAATATGAAATTAATTTTAAAATTCCTAAGTAAAAATCCAGAGAGGCAGCATGATGCAGTGGAAGGGGTAGCATCTTAAGTCAGAGGACCTGGGTTCAAATCAGCTTTGCTATCTTGGGAAAATATGACCTTGGGAAAATTACTTAACTTCTTGAGGCCTCAGTTTCTTAATCTGTAAAATGAAGGAGTTGAGATAGATGGCCTTCCAGTTCTTGATCTATGATGCTAAGTAGAAATAATTTCCAGTGTATTTTGGATGCCAGCCAATGGATATGGCAGAAAAAAGGTGGCCCTGACCATCTTTGCAGAAATGACTTGCTACCCAATCCATATAGTCTTCTCTCTCAGGTCAGAGAGAATGTGGTTGGCATCTCCCAGCATTTAGAAGGCCCTAGTCTGATCTGGAAGTGAAGCCAAGGTAATGTCAAGTCCCTGACTCCACTCCCTCCCCCCAATATGTATAGACGCATTTTTGAGGAGTGGGGATGATGGCAAGCCAGTTTCAATGAACTTGCTCTATGATAATAGGGATGGTCTCAGGATTAGCTGGAAAAAAAAGTGGGCGCTTGGTAAGAATGAAATGATAGGTTCTTTTGGCCTCTGGAATGGGGATGGCGGCAAAGGGGAGCCAGGACATCCTGGTTAATTTTCAAAGTCAAGTTAGTTTTTGATGCTCTCATCCACTATTTTTCTCCTCTTCTCCCCTTCTCCTGCTTCAGGGCTCCCTCTACCTCACCCTAAACCCCATGGTCTGCCCAAAGTTACTCACCATGGTAGGTCATCCCTGAAACATCCTATGCTCCAAAATCACCTTGTTCTGTCCTATCAGTCAAGGCTACTGTGACCTTAGAACATCTGCTAAGTGCTAAGTGTCAGAAAAGACATCTGAGTAATTCACAGTAAAGTATCAATGACTGATCGTCCCTGTCCCCTGCTCCTCACTCCCCTGACTTGCCAGAGGTGTTTGCTAATTAGCCCATATAAATATCTAATGGGTAGAATTTCAGGCAAAATTGGGGAAATACTTTGAAGCAGAGCATTCCTCTTAGACCTGGCTTACACCGGATACATGGAAGAGAAACTCTAAAAAGGAGGGGAAAGGAAGTGGGCTTGCCCGAGAAGGGGCCCCCCATTTGGTTTCTTCTTTCCACACCAGCTACTTCCTGTGAGGAAGCTGGAGCTTAGCCTAGCCCATTCTGAGCTTTGGCCATCAACGAAGAAGGGGTAAGTCCAGCAGGAGAGGGGAGGATGCTACCCTTCCTTAAGCTGAACGTGCCTTGGGATCCCAGTGTCTACCCTTCCCTAATTCCCAGTCCCGCCATGGGGTGGATAGGCCTGTCAGCCAGGGAATGTTGGAAAACTTGAGCCTGGGCTCCACTGCCGCAGAAACAGAGAAACCTGGTCAGATCCATAGGTCTCATTGGGTTATAAATATAGGAGTCTTCATAAAGAGTTCACTAGAGCTTTTTGATCCAGACTATTACCCCTAAATCCCCTCTACTCTCTATCCTCTCACCGTCACCCCCTTTCCACTAATTTCTTCTGAGGACCACACTATGACTTATGAGACAACCTTATCCCCGGGTCTCTGTTCTGCTAAACCAATTTTCTAGGAGAACACTGGACACAAGCCTAATAAAGCCATCTGGGAGTTCTGCCCCCTTGAGAACTGAGACATTATCCGAGCTCCTGAGCTTCCAGCAAGGCTATCCCTGGGCATTCAATAAGTGAAGGAGAGGAAGTTGGTCCTTGGGCCTTCCCTTCCCCTTATGCCTCATTACAACACAGCAAAATTATGACCAAACACCCCATTAAATATGTATTAGATTAACTTTTTCCTATGTTTTATTCAGTTATGACTTTAAACTCTTCATTTCATGTTTGGCCTTCAAAGTTTCTTGTCCATGCAGCATGGCGTCTACTTCCACTATTCAGAAGTTAGAAGCACTGTTGCTTATAGATGGGGGAAGCCAGTTTTCTTGGTCTTGTCAGCCAGGATCTTTTTTAAACAGAGCTGTCTCTGGGCTGTTCTCAGGCCCTTCTCTGGACAGTGGGTGCCAAGAGCATGTGTCAGGTTTCCTTAAGTAAAAAGGATGGGGAGGGTAACTACAAACGCCCTGCAAAGGAGGAGGATCAAGCTGAAACAAAGCAAAACAAAAACCACTCTTGCTTTTATGCCAGTTGGATGAAGACTCAGTGTTTCGGGCCAACTGGCTAAGAACACCAGTACATGGTGCCAACTGGCATTTGAGTCTGTTTGCTGTTGCCAGATGGCAGGTGTTGTCTCAGAGCACTGTCTGATGGTGCCAGGGTGCTTACCAGCAAGTAAAACTCCTCCAATTTCTTGCTGATTTGGGAAATGATAGTAGCATTTGCTGGTTGGCAGTCCCCACCAGCTAACATAAGAAAATAGCAACTGCTCTCCTAATACTGAGCCAGGTCCATCCAACTCCATGTCCTGCTACTGACGTGACAACAAGGGTATTTTGCAAAAATGCCTAGTTCTCTCCAAGATGTTGCTTCAAAAGATTGGACACTTGCCTGAAACATCCCCAGCTTTCCCATATAGTTAATGTAGTTAATTGGGAATTGGGGGATTTGGGAATGGTCCCAAATTTCCATACTGACAGTTCCTCTTGGAAACTGGTACATAAAGCACTAGGCTCCAGCCCCATCACTTACATCCTGTGAATTAAGATTGCACTTTGCACTAAGGATTCTCCCTTGCCTTTCTCTGAGGTGCTGGCCCATTGTTATACCTGCACCCAACACATCCTTCTTCCTTGACTTATCATTGGTGTTGTGTGATTGCACCATAACTAGGAAGTTTCTTCTTTCATTATACACCAGGTGGGCCTTGTTTTCCTGCTTTTGCTGCCAATACCATGGGAATAAAAAGCAGATAGAGATTTTTTCTCATTAAAAACTAGGCCCCTAGTCCTGGCTTCCTTCCCTAACTTACTCAGAATCACTGAATTTCTTTTTTTTTTTAAGATACATTAATTTATTTATTTTTAGTTTTCAGCATTCACATTCACAAGATTTTGAGTTCCAAATTTTCTCCCCATCTCATCGCTCCCCAACCCAATACTCTTTCCCCTAATCTGCCCTCCCTTCTATCTCCCCCCTTCTCTTATCCCCTTCCTCTTCTAGTTTCCTGTAGGGCAGGATAGATTTCTATACCCCATTGCCTGTATATTTTATTTCCCAGTTGCATGTGAAAAATATTTTTTAACATTTGTTTTAAAAACTTCGGGTTCCAAATTTTAACCCTTCCTCCCTCCCCACCCACCCTCATTGAGAAGGC